TATCCTCGGAGGCTACCGTACCCCAGTGGAAAGAGGTCAAGCGCAGCGTGACGCGTTTCTTAGCCCACGGATTTAAGGCCGGTAACCATTTTCGTATCAGCTCGTCGGACAGGCTCAATGAGGGTTGCGCGTTCTTGCGTTCTGAGTAGACAACATGGTTGGCGTATTCAAGAAGCTGTCTGACGTCGACCGCATAGAGCATCTGAAAGTCCATGCTAGCAATACGGAGGAGATGCGCCGAATCATACACAGAATGACGAATGCCTTTTGAGCCTATTTTTCACGGTGTACTTGGAAGAACATGTTTGAAGAGTATCAAATACCTAAGTCCGTTTTGGTATATATCCTTGTAATGCTTCTGGTCCGTTTTCACCATGACAAAAGCCGCACTAACCTTCCGGATTCGGATGGAAGTGGCATCTTCAGGTCGGTTGCCCGAACTCAAAAAGCTACCCAGGTAGGCAAATTTATCTACTACTTCAGTGCGTCCGTCTTCAAGCATGAGGTTCGGGTTTGATCCTATTCACTCTCAAAGCAACACTCCACACCATTCAGATGGAGAACGCCTTGGGGGCTTTTTGACCCCATAGACGTTAGAGGCTGGGAGTGTCTTCCATGATCCTATCAATGACAAAGCTGAAGAAGCTTGAAAGACCACAGCCTGGTTTGACACCAATGGATGCAGTGAACTCAGCTGAGTTGTCTAGGCAATACGTTGCGATAGACCACGATTCCACGTACAGCTCTTTAGAGGGTCTCAAAGAATGCACATATCGGACTATAATGCGAGCCGTATTGCTGTATGGCTGTGGTACTTGACCACTGATGCTTCCGAAGTGTAGTTGGAATTGGATGGAAACAGTGAGTCCTAAATGAGATAATCCGAAGGTGGGATTTTGGTGAAGCACAGGCTGCTTCCCTCAAAGAACACATTCAGTACTGCAAGCTGATGTAGCTGGATAGTGTTTTTCCCATACCAGGTTACCAAAAGAGCTGTTTTCAGTGTGGCGTTGGAATCAGGCCACATCGCAAAGCTGGCACTTTAACCACTGAGCCATCTCAAAGTCAACCAAACGAAGAGGCGGAGGAAGAACTGTGCTATCTACATTAAAGGTTCTGGCTTGCATTACACTCACTCATATGCACATTCTCCCAAGACTGTATTTCAGGAGGTCATGTAAACTTCTCTTCGAATTGTTCGTCCTACCCTTCCTATGGGCGTTTTGTGAATTGATTGTTGGACCGTCTTTTTCATTGATGACTTCACTGACACTTGCGTTCGTTTGGCCAGTCGATCGAATTACTTGGTATATGGCGCGTTTTTTTGTGTTGATAAAAGCCTTCCCCGTCTATTGGTCGTTCGTTGTCCACGATGGCTCCATTTTCCCTCACTTGATTATTTAGCGTCTGACAGTTTCGCATACGCCATCGTACTCCGTGCCTGTTGGTTTCGATTTCTCGCAATCAGCCAACAAAAATATCTAGTAGTCAGTTGATCTTACCAGAGAAATCAGACAGCTGTGAACGCCGCCAGCATACCTCTTTTTGGTTGTTACCACGCTTCATCCACGTGGTCGTTACCGTTACTGTTATTTCATTTCACAAAGCAATTGAGCTCATCGCCTTGACTGTCAGAGACAGTGTTAACACTGATGCTTCATTGCCGTTCAACCATGAAGTCTTCAATTATCTCTAAACCCCTAAAGCAAAGAAATGGTAACTAAGGTATAGGCCTGGTGCCAACCTACTGCAACCATGTGTTCGACACAGCTTAGTGGTTAAGCCGCATATTTACTGACCCATTTGGACCCATCACTGTGATCCTGACTGTTCCTGTATAGAATTGCGCAACCTGATAATATCTCATCCCTCGCACTGCTTCCTTCGGGTTTCACGGGAGCTCACCAGCAAAAAAAATCGTTCAGATGTAACATCTTTTGGGTGCCTAGCTACTATGCCACTCGAAGGAAGCACGAGGGCTGGGATACTGTCAGGTTGCCCAACCCTACGCGGGAGAAGAGATGCAGGTGGGGTTCGAACCACGGACGTTCCGGCCAGTAGAGTCACGCTCTAACTACTGAGCCAGTCCGAAGTGTCCAATCGAACAATCTAGGTCACAGATGAACAACACCGACATCGATTAACTGCCATTTCTTAAAACGTTTCCAGTCATGCGCAGGCGGGGCACCTGGACCTCACCAACAATACTTAAACTCCTCGTAAGCTGTTTCGCAGATCTTGTCCACCTTGCAGTTTGCGCCATTCTGAAAGGGGCACGAGGAACAGTACGTGTCTCGACAGACCGTGTGTCGACGTGCACAGTTAGTGTCGATAGGTAGTTTCCTCGATCAACATACGACGACTAAACACCTGGTTTTCAACTGCCTTGTTAAAAATTCGCCGACGTTATCCAATACTGACAACGCTTCTGATGCATCGGTGCTCGAAAACCCGATGTCACAGGTCATCTGTCAGTAGGGACCATATCTCACAACCATACGGCAACACAGTCATTACTGTAGCCTAGTAACCTTGGCCTTTGAAAATTAGTACTCTTCCATTTGACCACGTGAGCGGTGCGAATTAGCCAACGTCATTCATGCCTTCGAGACTCAGGCGCTAACTTAATCGAACACACTGCCATCAGAGCTAATACAATAACCAAGGTAAGCTTCTTCACAACCTCCAGTGCACCTTAGACTGCAAGGGATTTGTCGAAGGAGGATGTGTTGCTGGTAGTCAAAGCCAAGCACGCCAGTAGCCAAAAAGACAACAACATCATATTCCAAAAGTTACCACAAACATTTTCTGATTTTACGCTCCCCGGACTAGCTTTCAAACATTTTTGATTTTACGCTCCCCGGACTAGCTTTATTAGAATCCTGGCACCTGTATAGCCAGCAAACGCTAGCTCGGCAACATGCAGGACTACAAGAGTTATACACAAGAAACCTTTGTGGGGATATGTTACGGTTTAGGTTCCGCAAAAGCTTCTATTTGAGGGGGCACCTTGAGTATCAGCATACAATCATCATCCAAAACGAAAAGTCAGTGTTCACCACTGATGCTTCGCTGCCGTGCTACCGCAATTTATTTGAAAGTCATATTGTGGAAACAAGAGTAAAAGTGAATGCGGAAGGACCTAGTGCTAGCCTACCACAATCATTCCGAGGCGCTTACACCTCCACACACTCGTCCAGGCAATCTGGATAGGAACTGAACGCCAAAGACTTCGATTAGCAATCATATCTTGATGACATTTTCGGCTGTAGCACCCTTCTGGTGCCTAGCTACCATGCCGCACGAAGGCTGGGATACTGCCAGGTCGCCCAAGCCTAGACAGGGGAAGCTGAGAGGCAGAGGTCAGTGAATTCGCGCTCTAACCACTTCGCTGTCGCAACCATATCTTGCAGTGTCTCCAACCATACACAGAAGATCACGCGAACCTCATCTTGAAAGGTGAGTTGCACTGATAATTACTGTTTGGTGCTGGACACATCCTTCGATTGAAGACCCTGTTGCAAAACCGAACACTCGTTTCCTAATTGTGTCGTCGCGGATTTACCGGCATCAGTTTACACAACCTGCAGTCCATAGACCAGAGTTGTCGAAGACCTGAAGACGTCCGAGTTTGACTGGTTACAGAGACCATGTCTCAAAGCCATACAACAAAACAGCCCGTACTGTAACCGGATGCACACATCGTTTGAGATCCGGGGATATGTCGCTCCGCCACTATAGGCGTCTCAAATTAGCGAACATGACCTGAGCCTTAAGAATTCGTGCTCCAACTTCATCTGTTAAACTACAATCGGAACCCGTACAACTTCCAAGATACGTAAAATGTTCCGCAACATCGAGTGCCTCTCCTTGGAGTGCAAGTGACGTGTTAAGTGACTGCATGTCCAGAAGCATGACAATATAAATAATCGCTCGGCTGTGCCTAGCTGCCATGCCACCAGAAAGCATCACAAGGGCTGAGATACCGCCAGGTTGTCCAATCCTACACAGGAGAAGTCGAGATGCGGAAGTCGGGTTCGAACCACGGACCTTCCGGTCAGTAGATCCGCGCTTTAACCACTGAGCAAAGTGCGCGTCAAAAGACTTTAGTCAGTTCATCCAAAAACATCTGTGTCTTGTCTCCGAAGACGAGAATGATGCGTGCGCATATTCCAACTTGAACATCGAGGTTTCGAAGTCCTTCCAGCGTTTGTCTCATCACCTCGCCAATCACGAAGTGGAATAGGAGTTGAGAGACTGAACATCCTTATGCAATGCCTTTTTTTGCATACTGAAGGTTTTGGAGAGCTCGACGAATACTGTCGCACGACCGGAAGTCTGAGAGTACCACGAATTTATTTTTGTGACCCACTCCTGGGGGCTCCAGGTCAAAACACAACAAGCCGCAAATCGGCCGCAGCAAATTAGAAGCAGCTGAACAGGAGGACTGCCCTGACCGCGGACTGGGAGTGATCCCACCAGCAAAACCAACTGAGTAATTCGACTCTCCTAGACGGACAGCCAACGGAATGCTAACTATCGCCTGTATGTGTGCCAGTTAGCGACTGCTTGACCTTATGAAGATGTGATCGATGCAGCCTCTGCCTGATCCTGCCATACGACGAAAAATCACTGATACTAGAACTCTTGTTACGACAGGAGGCAAAATGACGCCCATCTGTTACTACATGAGGGAAGATAGCTAAGTGGTTAGAGCGTGGATCTACTGACCGGAGGGTCCGTGGTTCGAACCCGACTTCTGCCTGTCGACTTCTCGTGTCAACGCTTGGGCAACCTGGTAGAATTCCAGCCCTCGTACTTCCTTCTGGTGGCATGGCAGATAGGCCCCGAAAGGGTGCTACAACTGAATGAGTTAGTTCGAGGTGACTTTTTTTTTATGATGTGCAGTCACCAGTCACACCCCATTACTCTTGCAGGATTGCTTTCCGATAAACCCAAACAAGTTAGACAGAAGAAGAATTCGTTACTGATCTTGATCAGAACTGGTAGAACGTCCTCGGGCCCAGTAAGATGGTGGGGATATGTGTGCTGGCATTTCTGAGGCTGTTTATAAGATAAATAAATGATCGTTCAGCTGTGACATGCTTTCGGTGACTAGGTGAGATATCACTCGAAGGATTCACGAGGGGTGAGATACTGCCAGGTTGCCCAAGCCTAAACGGGAGGAGTCGAGACGCAGAAGTCGGGTTCAAAGACGGGCCTTCTGGTCAGTAAATTCGCCCTCTAACCACTGAGCCATCTCGCACCCGAGACTGTATATGCTGCATGCTCGAAGGCTAGAGAATTAGCAGATGGTAAGCTGAATGGTTGTTCGAGGTATTCTACCCCGCTGTGCAAACGTTCGACTGTGCTAGGTATTCTACAGCTACCGTACTTGATGTTTCAGGGTGAAGAGGTCTACAAGCAACCTGTGGATGTTTCCAGCACTTTTTGCTTCATCTAATAATTCGACCTTCTGGACCCACCAGGTTCCCTTATATACGCGAACACTCAGTTTCTTCCGCCGTTGGATTACGTGGTTGAGGTTGAAGTGAATCTTCACGGGGTCTCCAGCAACCCTGATCTGAAGCTGTCACCTTGGCGTGGTGGCCGGGCTTCTGTACAGCATGACTCCAGTGACGCAACGGTTCTATCACAGATACAATAGCTGAAAGGGACTGTCGGGTTTGCATCTCAAGTAAAGTACTGTAGTGGTTAACGACCCTAGGGAGTCTGTCGAACAGAGCAAACTATTAAAGTCGGATACAAGTCACAAGGAAAACAATACAAGGACATCTCGACTCATAGTTCATGAGAGAAAATTCTGCAAGTTTGTGTTCCTTTGAACTATCACACCAAGAAGAGAAGGTTCTACTTTCCTGGTATTCCAAACTTCCAGTAGGCACGATATTAATCCACTAACGTGAATGGATAGGTCCACCATCTGTAGCTAAAAATTTTCTTCACGTTGGGAATAAGTGCCAGCCAATGTTGTTCAACGCTATTTACTCAGCAAAAGGCGCAAAATCCCGTTGGGCTCCCAAAGCAGGGACTTGTCGTTGTATTGCATTAAAACAAACTTTGTACAATAACGTGACCAATATTGACAGGGAGAACGAAAATGATAATGAGCAGGAAAAACAGCACTTTACAGGTGCCACGACCAAGTACTGCTCTCTTGTGACTGTCAACTTCTGACATCAGACAAACAGGCGGGTCTTAAAAGAGTCGGTTTTGATAAGTCCGTTTGATTTTTGTCTCAATGGCCACGTGAGGTGTGCGTTTCATGTAAACCTGAAAACCCTTACGAAATGAAACAGCGGACAAGCGCTTTTGTGCAATCTACACAGGTACTACAGAAGGAGCGTCAGGTAGTGGCTCAACCTCACCACCGGTACCTACGGACAGTGAGGTCTATTTGGGTTTGGGACTGCTTTGTCAGTAAGTACTGCATGGTCGAACCATTTCCGCTGCTGAGGAAGGTGGTGCCGCAAAACGACAGTTCTTTTTCAGCTTACAGCATGCCCTCGTTTGTCCCATTAACTCGTGTTGAGCCATTTTTAACTGCTCGTCTACCCATCCAATGTCGGTATTCGTTATCATTCCCTCACCAATGTTCAGCAGAGTGAGAACCCTGTACGCAGAGGAAGTTGATCAGACAGCTTAAAAATTTCGGGGTAGTGATATCCAGCTAATTAGGCTGGACCATTTATCAAGGGTATTGGGGCTGGTGGCGAAACACAACAGGTAACGAATTGGGAGTGCCGTTATTCCACATAAATCAGAAACATCCGAAGTCATTCGAATGATGCAGAACATGCCTGACATAAGAATAGCGTTCCATAGGTGAAGCACTGCGCTCAGCACTGATGCAATTAGAGGATAGCCTCGCGGCAAACAGAACCAGGGTCCGTGTCTACGAAATTAAATGCAACGCCTGCACTAAAATATGTAAAGGACGACCCGACAGTTTCCGTGCAAAAATTGGCATATGGTGACGATGTTCAGTCTCTCAATTCCTATTCTATTTTGTGATTGGCGAGGTGATGACGCGAACGCTGGAAAGCAGTAAAACATCGGTGTTGAACACTGATATCATGCAGTCAATGATGACCATGTCTTCGAAACCTCGATGTTCGAGTATCTACTGTTGGAATATGCAGACGGCATCATTCTCGTCTTCGGAGACAAGACACAGATG